TTAATTTTATGTGTATACCTTTTATTAATTTATATAAATTAAATTGAATCAAAAATTGAAAAATGTAATTCCATATTGTGTGTAAAAATCATGTCAACTCACTGTAAAAATTTTAAAATTATTTGATTAAGTTTGAGCAGTAAACTTAATTTTTTAAGAAACATTGTATTTTTATATAAAAATAATTATAGTGAATTAAATACACTTAGAAAACTTATAAAAAGTGGTCGTCTGAGTTCCTTGTGATCAGGGGCACTTATAAAAAAAATTATTTTTGAGAACATACTTCATTTTTAGCTATATTTTAAATTAAAAATAATTAAAAATTTAAAAAAATACAAAAATATTTCAAAATGTTCCTAATGGTTCCCTAATGACTTAAGACTACTTAAAATAGTTTCCCCAATTTTTTTAAGTTAAAAATAAATTTTTAAAGGCTTTAAATGTATTTTCCTTATTTTCCCATTAAAATAATTATAATAAATAAATTTAAAATCATAAAAATATAAAATTTGTTTCTTTGAGTTCTTTAGACTCATAAAGGTTTAATAAAAATATAAAAATAGTTTTTTTCTAATTAAAACTTATTTTTCATCATTAAAATTAATAAAAAGTTATAAAGTTAAATTAAAATTTAATTCAAAAGATCATGAAATTTTGCCTAAGTGTTTCTCTGATCTAAGCGATCCTCTAATATTTTTTTCATATGCCAAAAACTTTATTTTGATCATTTAAACAAAATAATTTTGAAGATTCTATTTTTCTAAGTTAAAATGACCATTTAAGTTAAACTAAAATTTGAAAACCACATTTTCACCTATGATACTTTAATTTATTTATGGATAGGGTACTCTAAAAAAAAACTTAAAGTCACTAGAGTTATGCTTAATGAGTTATGAGGTGGATAGCCCCAAGGGCAAGGTGATAATTTTAGATTTCGGTACCTTAATTAAAATTTAGGATTAACCAAAGAGAAAATGAGTAATTTTGATCCTAATGGATATGTTTGGATGATTGAAACATAATGGATAAAAGGTAGAAACCAATTTGCCACCTTTCCGTTGTAAGAATAAAATTATAACTTATTAAATTATCAAGACTTAGAAGTTGATCAAAATCAAATGATTATCAGGTGAAGGGCTTAAGTTAGGGAGATGATATTTCACTTATGTTAAGTCAATAATTAATGATGATCTAATCTTTTAATCAGGATATACACCACCTGAATTAAAATTTGAACATTTGTTAATCTTTTTCCCATTAAGATTTTTAAGGGCTTGGTAGTGATCCAGGCTTGATATTTAAATTCATTTGTGGGATTTAGAAGGATAACATGGTTAATGATAGACATTTCTAAGCACTGCAAGCCCAACTTTAGTGGTGGGTACAAAAAATCTTTAGTGACCTAAACTTGCCTTAGGGGCATTCACTCACATACCTCTTAAGTGAAATATCAACTGATTAATTGAGTACCCTGTCTTCGGGATGATTAAAACGTCAAGATTCACCGAGTAGTGGGGTAATTTTAATTTGACCTGGGATGATTAATAGAACAATATGATAAGTTCAAAATGAACTCAAATGTTTCAAGAGATCTAAAGCAATTCAGGGTCATTCCCCGAACACTCTAAAATCTCTTGAACATTTTAAAGGACAAATTGAACTTGCTATATTTTGTTCTAAAATCATCCACTAAGATCTTTCGGAACTTAATAAGTCATAGTTCGGGGTTTGTTAGATACACCTTCAACTATTCTTAATTTTTGCAAACTTTTATATATATATATATATATATATATATATATATATAGTGAAAACTGACGTTTCAGCGAGAATGCCAAAAAGATGGCATGTACGCTTTTATAGTGTTAATTAATTTTTGTCATTTTACTTTCTGTAATTTCCTTTCGCTGCAAAATATTATAATTGCTTGGCTGTGCACCTTACTTTACTTGCAAAATCAAAAATCATTTTAAAAAATTAATCAACATTTTTCAAATATCAAAAACAAATTATTTCAAAGATAATCATAAATCATTTGAAATTTCACTAAGCTTAAAACGTCCTTTTGAATTTACGGGAGTCCCTTGGAGGAGGTAACCCACGGTTGCTAACGAGATCTCCTCAGTTTAAATGGGTTTCACAACTCGTTTAAGCTAAGTAAATTCAAAAGAAAATAAGGATACCAGAATGAGGGAACCGTGGGATCCTAGCCGGTGCACTCTAATCAACTTTAACCCCCCCTTGATTGAACTTTTAACATGTCACTTAAACCTTTTGAACCCTTAGACATTAGGACTGCTACTTATCCAAGGAGCTTGGAGCTAATTTTGTGGGCAGCCTTCTACAATAACAATCTATGACAGTAATCTGCAACAGAATAAGGAGCTACAACAACACATCTTTCCTTAGAATAAAACACCAAACAATAGGATTTCAAGGTCGTCTGCATATAGTGACGTAAATCCTCAACTTTTTTCTTTAGGCCTTTGTACAACCCTATTGTGTAATTTAATCTCTAACTCATTTTAGGATTCCGAGGTTGTCGTTCGTCACGACCTAAACTCTCACATCTTTCAGGCTATTTATGCAACTTTCTTGCACAGATGTAAGCCCTAATTAAAAAAATTGGCAAGATGAAACATTTAAATATTTTCTTCTCAAAATTGAAGCTGAACTATAGAATAGATTGGGAAGTCACCGAGGTTCTCCTCAGGATCCATGGCATCCCCTAGTTCTTCTTCCTTTGGATTTTGAAATGAAATGTTCCAAATTTGAACCATTCCCTTTTCACACCCTTTTTTCCGATCTTTTTGAAAAGTCCTATTCTTTGAAATTATTGAAGACAATATCCCCTAATTTTTATCAAGAGTTTTCTTAGGTGATGTCGGTTATCTAAGATGTAATTAACTATAAGGGTTTGCCTTTATATAAAACTTTTAAGAACCTAGCTTAATATAAACCTTATTCAATTCTTCGTATTACATAAGAGAACTTGTCAGTCAATATAAAAATTATTTTTTCGTTGACTTAAACAGATGTCATAAATTCTTTAGTTTATTTAATCGAGTATTACCAGTAAGTAGTGTGTCTACCCTTCAGGATAGATGCATTATTTGCGATATTAGGCTAGTTTATTTAAACTACTGAGGATATGAGATCGGTCCAGTCTTATATTTTCAAATTTTAAAATATTACTTTTTCCCAAATTATATATATATATATATATAAATAGGGCATCAGAATTCCTATTTTCTTATTCCGGCAACCGACAATTTCCAATTTGGCGACCGACAAGTAGTTACTAGCGCTATAGCACCAGTCTGGGGAGTTATAGCGCCCGTCTTCGCTCGTCTGTGGCGGTATGACGCTATAGCGCCACACAAATATCTTCAATTTTGCTCTATTTTTCCCTCATTTTCTCTAAATGTCCATTCCATGTACCTGAAACCAAAAACATGCAAAATATTTTCCTTTAAAGTGCAATATCATTAAAAATGTACATGAAAGACTTATAAAATATGTACTAAAAACATTTTATTTTTTAGGTGGTTCAATGTTACAAGTCATTATTGCACAGTTCCATATTTATAACTAATCCAAGACCTTTTAATAATTGTTTCCTATTAGTAACTACTTAACGACAAAAGCGTTCAGTCAACTAGATGGTTTTCAGTCGACCTCCTCAAGAGAACCCGCGATAGAGACCTTCATGTCGTTAGTGAACTTGAATCGTCAGGCAAAGGGTGTATCACCATTATCTGATGGGCATCACTTCTTAGACAATGGGCTTTTCAAGAATATTGGTAAGTTATTAAATGAGATACACTTTGGTCATCTTTGTGAAGAATCCCAAAATTAGTCGAGAGAGCTATTTGTAGTTGACTGCCCCTCGGATCAGGTGTCTCATTTTCTTTCGTTCGGTCGGCCCATAGTTCCAACCGAATAAACCAACGTCTTTGTCATTTGACTATATTGGTGCGGTAGTTTGATGTCCATATAACAAGATCCGTAGATTTTTCTCAAAATTCATGCCATCATATTTTTGATATATATAGTGTGTACTTAATTTTTTTTTTAGAGTGATAAGAGATTTAGTGAGTGCTTCAAATTATCCCAAAAATTCACAATTGTAATGCGTAAACCATAGTCAAGAATTTCAAACAAATTACATTTGTTGTACTCAACGTTCCACTACCAAAGAGCCCGTTCAAATTTTTTTCTCACATATTCTTAGAATAGGACAATCTCTCAACCACCTTCATCTAGAAATGAGCTGCGGATGCATTTTCGTTTCTTCTGTTAAAAGGAAGTGTTATACATCACATGGGTTGATGGCAAATATATTATTTTCAAACACAAAAATCCTTATTGTTTTCTCAAATTCTCATTAACTTGAAATCAAAATTAATGTCTCAACATAGAAGCGTCTACCAAAATAAGTTAGGTCAACCTTCAATTCTTAGACTAAAAGATATGATAGGTATGCACGTAAATTCATATATATATATAT